AGCTCACTTCTGGGACATCTCTCTGGCCTGAATCCTCCTGGGGCCTTTATGCTTCTCAGTCTCAGTTGTCCTTTGGAGGAGTCACCAGGCACTGTGAAAATGAACAACTTGGGACTCCGTTTTTACCTTATAATTGAGTTCACGTTGACAGTGTGGTCTGGACTTGTCTCAGTGCTAATAGTAGGTAACTGCTTCCTGCCTTTCCAGTAGAGGTTTCTGTTTTTACTCTGTTTGGTTGACATTTTATAAAATGGCTCTGGGGTCTGGTCCCTGCTGGAGGTGTAGGGGTCAGCTTTTTTTTTTTTAACTCACCAGTTTCTCAGTTTGCCTTTTAAGGTGTCCCTACTCCCTACTTTTCTAGCCTCTTGATTGGAATGTTCAGCTCATTTAATTTGTATGTCTTTGTTTAATTAGAAGTATTTTTTGTCAGCATAGACTTTCCTTTCAGTATAGATTTCTGCTAATAATGGTTCAGCCTGCTATGAGCTCAAGTATGTCTTGTCAACAACCCATAGCCTTGGCTTTTCTTTCCTCTATGTCCTAAGGATTATTGAGACTCAGAAGTTTCTAACACACCTGGTTCCCAGTCATTGTGATGTTTCATCCCTTTGTTGCTCTGTCCTGTGACTGCCTTCCAGATGCATTCCTTCTGTGGGGAGGGAAGGGGGCAGAGAGCAAGCTAGACCAGCACCACTGTGCCCTCACAGGCATCATTTGCCAAGTGAGACCCTTTTGAAAGCAGCCTTGCAGTAAGTTGATAGCGAGCTTCATGGACAGGTGTTATCCAGCACAGCAGTTATCTGCCACTAGAGTTGAGATACAGATTTTTTTTTCTCAACTGATATTAATTATGTAGCCAAAGAGATGAAAAATACTCTAAAATGCCCCCATTTTATTCCATACTTCTTCCACACTGAGCTCCTGAGTCCTCTGGCTGTTCCAGGCTAAGGCTTTTCATAATCTCATTTCCTTACCTTGTTCCCTGAGCATATATGTCTGACTCTGGTTGAGCAAGGGCTGGATTTCCTTACATGTAGTTCTGATGGCCTTTTCTTGAGGTTTTTTTTATAAATGCTGAAATCTGAGAGACCCTCAGCATAATACATGCACATTAATTTAGAAAGATTGCCAAGTACTGAAAGGCTCATTGACACCCCTAATCCTCCCCGCCCCTCCCACTCCTTCCCTCTTTAGAGGGAAGCCTTCCAGCTTGGTGGTTTCTTCTTGGAGTCTGTGCCACAGCCCCGCCCATGAGCATTTACTATGGTTTCTTGATCCACCTACTTTAGGCAACGTATAGACATAGTAGCTTAGTTTTCTAGGTCCAGCCTCCACATTTCTCCATCACAATAGTTGAGCCATCTTTGTTCTATGAGTATTCAGGGTCCTAGTGGCTAACTGTGTGAGCAGGCTTCACTGTACAGTCAGAAGGTGAAACAGGAGTACTCTGTGCTTTCTTGAGTAGTTTACCTGGTCTTTCCAATTCTCTTTTTAAAAAAATTTCAGGACAGTGAGTTGACTCAGCAGAAAAGGACACTTTCACCTGAGCCTGGTGATCTGATTTCAGTCCCAGAAGCTCATGTCGTAGACACACACATTGTCTTCACACAGATAGATAACTGTAAAAGTTCCCTTCCCCTACTAACCACCATTCCCCAGACTTATATGTAATCTTAAAGTTGTTTATTTTTATTGCATAAACCATCCCTGTGCCACAGATGTGCTACCAGGCAGGTGTTCTTCTGAGCTGTCCCATGTGGACCAGCTGTTTCTAAGACCCGTATCTCATTGAGTATCCCAAAATCCCTTTTACTGTTATTGAGAAGGACCTCCCCTCCCCAACTCTTGTGTCTTATGTTCTCTTTTACCTGATTAATTCCTTCAGTTTAATAAAGGAAATTCTCAGTTGGTTGTCAAGCACATCATGGGAAAATCTGCTAAATTTCTTCTTGAAGCAACTTATAAATTATTCTTGAGAAATCTGATCATGACCTGATTTCCTCTGTAGGTACAGAATGGAGCCAAATGGAGCTAAATAGGAGGTTCACAAAATGCAGCCTTTCTGAGTGTGTGTGTCCAGGGAGGACAGAGGTGACAGACCTATAGTCTAAGTACCCAGCAATCTGAGGTGCTGCTCATACAGAGGTCGAATTCCTGGTAGGTGGACTGAGCATGGTGGAAAACATAGGCAGTGGCCCAGCTGGGACCAGAGAGCTAGCTGTGTGGGTGTTCAAATGGCTCAGCCTTAATTTGAGTGAAGGCAGCAGGATTTGTGTGACAACTGGATGAATGTAGGTGATTCAGAGAAGTCAGTGGTGTTTTAGTTTGCATGCATCAGTTAAAAAAAAAAAAAGGCCAGGTGTGGTTCTGATGCTAAGGTCCTGTTCCCCAGTTGGTTTTTGATCTGTCAGTAAAGAAAGGGTTAATTGCTGGGCAGAGGGTACAGGTGGGACTTCTGGGTCCCAGGAGGAAAATGCAGATTCAAGGAAGGAAAGGAGGAGTTTTTTGTCACAGTTTGGAGGGAGAAGAAGCCAGCAGCCATGTGAGGTCTCAGGAGGAGCTGGGGCCTGTGGCCACTGCTACAGGCAGATGGTTATGGATGTGTGGCAGGGGCTAGGTAGGACTAGCCACTGAAGTTTAGGGCCGGTGGGAGAAATGGAGATAAAAATATTAAGGGCATGCTTTTCTAGGCTAGAGATACTAATGCCCAGCAATTGTGTTCTAAAGCAAGTTGAGAAGGAATAAAGTGTGTATGTGTCTTTTATCCACAGATTGAAAGGAAGCTGGGAGGGGGCTGGTATTGCAGTTACCTCCCATAGTAAAAGCGGTAGCGTAAAGCTACAAGTAACAATGGTGCACACCTTTAAACCCAGCATTCAGGAGACAGAGGAAGGCGGATCTCTGTGAATTTGAGGCCATCCTGGTCTACAGAGCGAGTTCTAGGCTCTGGATGCATAAAGAAACCCTGTCTTGAAATAAAAAAACAAACCAAAACAAAATCAAATGATGTCTCTATGCCTTTTTTCAAAATTAAAGGTATTATTTAATTTATGTGTACAGGTGTTTTATCTGCATGTATGTCTGTACACCACTTGTGTGCTTGGTGTCCTGAGAGTCCAGAAGAGGGCATTGGAGTCACCTGTGGCTAGAGTTACAGATAGTCTTGAGCTGCCATATGGCTGCTGGCAGTCAAACCTGGGTCCTCTGCAAGCGCTCTTATCCTCTGAGCATCTCTACAGCCCCTGTGTAGCTCTTCTTGATGGGACATCTCTGTTTGATAGGTGACCACTCACTGCTCCCTCACCTTCTGCTCACTCACCTGCTGTGCTGCTAGACCGTGTGTCTGTCCAGCTCTCCGTTGAACCATGGGTCCCAGAGATATCTGGACAAGCCACCCAGTTCTAGTGATGGTGAACCTGAAGTACAGGCAACAGTCCCGGCTTCTTTTTGCCTTTGGGTTCACTTAGGTCAGCTGAGTTGTATACTGCAGTGCTTCCACACAGCCAGTAGAGGACGGCATCATTTCCTGCCCACTTGTAACTGTGATGAATAGCTTGAAACAAGACAGTTAAGCAGAGTTGCTCCTACCATCTGTATAGTGTCCCTGTCCTTGTGTGTCCAAAACGTCTTTGTGGAAAAATAAAAGCTTGTTCCTTAGTCTCTGGCTGCTTCAGCCCTGGAGGCTTCCCTCTAAAATATATCTGCCTCCCCTGTACTCCCCTGTAAATTATATCTGCCAGCCCCTGGGCTGTCACTACCCAAACTCAGTGGTTAAATCATTGTTGGCTCCAAAGACTGAGGATGGAGGGATCTGACAGAGCCTTCCCAAAGCAGGCTGGGGATCTCTCTGGCAGCAGGCACCTGCACCTAAGGTTGGGTCCTGCAGGCTGAGGTCCCAGGAGCTGCACTGCTGTCTTTGCTTTCCTGCTGCTGACAGCCCCTGTTCCACTCTTCTCTGCTACATGGGCTGCTGGACAGTGGCCTGCTTCGGTGGCCTGCTTCAGTCTGATGGACATGGCAATTCTATTGGTTGATGTCTTTAAATAGACCATTGGAATCTCAAGACTAAGTTTGGCAAGGACATACCAGGTCTAAAGTCTTCTTCATTTACACTCCTGCCCATAGCCATTAACCATTGTCCATCAGTTTCAGGAGCTGGAATTGGGAGAACTCCCTACTTAGTTTCATGTTATGCCTAAACCACACATCCTGGTGGCCCTACCCCAGCCCCTCTTTTCAAGCTTGGCTTCTAAACTTCTTTCCTCAAAGATGCATCTCTTTGACTTGGTATGTGACAAATAGCTATACTGTAAGTCCTCAGCATCAGGTTTAGACTCCAGGAGTCAAGGTCTCTACCCCTTTCTGGAAGGTTCAGTACATACACTGAGCCATCCTCTCTCTCCCAGGTCAGTAGCTTCACATGCCAAGCACTCAGTCATCACAGAGCTTGGGTCTCATTTCTGATATGCTTGTTCACATTGAGTCTCTTAACCAGTGGCTCTGCAGATGGCTGCTTAAAGAAAAGAAGGGTCTTTATGTGAAACATGATGCCCAGCGAAATATGACACAGGATGTGGGGGGAATCTGGAGGAGAGCCCCGAGTTGCAACACTATCATGTCCTCATGGCACATCCACTTGATTCATGTGGCAGTTGATGGCATCTTTCAGCATGAGGCGTTTGGGGGAAGAGACGGGCTAAAGCTTTGGAATGGCTCCTGGGGACACTCCTGAGCCCTGTGCTATTGCACAGTGTTTGCCCCACAGAGATCAGTGTCAGATGTGTATTGAAGGAGTTGGTGAGCATCCTGTAGCCAGCGGACTAGGCAGCTCCAAGGCTGACTCCCGTGAGACAGATGCCTTTTAGCATCTTTACTTCCGTCCAGGGTTTGATACATTGTGGACACACATTCAGGTGTTTCCTTTTGCCATTTGTCACAGTCCTGTCCTATCAGTTTTTCTGACTTTTTTTCCCCTGTCAGATAATTTCTTTTTATTTCAGCTTTTGAATCGCAAAGACAAGACCACTTTTGAGAAACTGGACTACCTGATGTCCAAAGAAGACAACTACAAGCGAACTCGGGACTACATCCGAAGTCTGAAGATGGTGCCCAGCATTCCCTATCTAGGTATGAGTCTCAGTTGGCTTATTATATTATTAACTTTCCAGGCAACATAACATGCTCAGGGCCAAATAAGATATTTTTACAGTTTCTAGTTGAGATGTTTCCAGGAAGCAACAGGGACCACGGATAAAGAGGTGATTTGGTTGGCTCTTTGGTTGGAGCAGGCTATGGATGCTTACCAGGCTGTTGATGTTTCCCAGGATAGGAACACTAGTGAGGTGGAAACAAGGTGACTCTGTCTTATGTACCTGGACTCCGAGGGCCTTGCCTCCCACACTGTGAGCGCCCCAGGCTTCCAGGCTGTAGCCCAGATGGGTCATGAGGTCAGCAGGTCATGATGTCTTGCAGGTTCATTCAGATCCTTCCAAACTGGGGGACTTAGGCATAAGGCTTCTGTTCTAGTTTTCTGGTCATTATTTGTATGTCTCATAAAATTCCGCAAAAGAAATTCTAGTAACAATTGCTAAAATTTCCAGTTATAAAATACTGTGTTCATTATAGGAATTGGGAGAAGTAGAAAGTTTCTTTAGTTATCCACTAGAAGGTATTTTGCTTTGTATCTCACTCCTCTTGGCATGTGTAAAGATGTGTTTACTCATGTCAGACACCTCTTGCTGTCTGTGTCTGTGTCTGTATTGTTGGATTTGTCAGGCTCAGTCCTGCTCTTCTCTTCTGCTGTTTACACTGTTTATAATGTTCTCTGTGGTGAACGAACAGCCTTGTGCTGTAAAAACTTGCGTGAGTGCATATGACTATTGCTTTGTCATGGCTTCTTGGAAGCCCAGGTAACTAGTTCAGCATATGTGTTCAGACTACACCTTAAAGATTGTTGATTTGAAGCAAGACATTTCGTGCTACTGCCACCACTGCTGCTGCTGCCTCCTTTCTTCTTTTTTAAGACAGGGTTTCTCTGTGTAGCCCTGGCTGTCCTGGAACTCACTCTGTAGACCAGGTTGTCCTCAGAGATCCACTCAGATCAAACTCAGAGATGCCTCTGCCTCCCAAGTACTGGGGTAAAGGCGTGTGCCAACACTACCTGACAGACATTTTCATTTCAAATCTATTTTTCTTTCCTTTTCATATTGCCAGTTTTGATACATGAAAAACGCTGTATGTAGTTTGGTATTCAGGAGAAAACCAATCTTATTCTGATCCGAAACAGTTTTTGTAACCAGGGAAGGAAAGGCTTTTCTAGAAGAGACTCCTGATGCTGCAGGTTAGTACAGTTTACATAGGCTTCAGTAGCTGCTGAAGCATCATCTGTAAGCATTCTTTGCATGTTTTTTTTTTTATTATTCTTAAATAGGACGCTGTCTATTTTATGATTTTTAAAATTTATTTATTTATGTATATAAGTACTCTATTTTTTACACACACCAGAAGAGGGAGTCTCGTGTGTGTGTGTGTATGTGTGTGTGTGTATCAATCACTGTGTAGCTCTGGCTGCCCAGAAAGTCACTGTGTAGATCAGGCTGGCCTCAAACTCACAGAGATCTGCCTGCCTCTGCCTTCCTGATACTGGGATCACAGGTATATTTGTCCTTGTTAGTTTATATTGCTGCCCCTCCCCACTTCCCTCTCCTCTCCTCTTCTCCGCTCCCCTCCTCTCCTCTCCTCCCCTCCCCTCCCCTCCCCTCCCCTCCCCTCC